GCGAGAGAACTGTCCGTTGGTTTAGTCAAGCTCTGTACCTGTTTAACAGGTCAGTGTTGGATTTCTTTGAACCATTACTTCGGCTGAATCTCATTGGAAGGTTATCCCGAAACCAAAGACCGTTAGATGATTTAATGTCAATATTTGCTCCGTTTACTGCAGGATCTGCGAATCGTGATTAGTTTATCAATTAACATATTCGGGATAAACTTGAACCAAAAACGCGAAATGAGGAAGATCCCTAGCGAAAACGTATACAAATTTGAACAACGCCCCGGCGTCGGTACCTCGCTGGTTGGTCGCCGATGCAAAGGTTGCGGCAACAGCTGACGAGGTTAAAAGCGTGTCGTCTGCCTTACCGGACTTCTCACACACGCGCTCAATGTTTGGAAACACAACACAACAGAGGAGGTTGATATGAGAGGAGGGCCGATGTGGCTTTCAAACTTTTGTGAGTTACATGACGTTTGTGTGTGAAGTGCCATCCGTAGCGAGATTTTGGCGAGAAGGTGGACCTCCGGGATAGCCATTCACAGTGTTCAAATTGTCGTCTGCTTTACACTCGTAGTTTAAATTGCATTGATCTGGATACTGTGTGATGGCCGGACGTCGGATTATCGTCAGAACTATCATCACGGATCCCATTCCAATTCAATAAGTTTTCTTTGAAATATTTTGGAATATTGGCTCTGATTTCTTGTAATGCCAGTTTAATGAATTCACACCTGAACAATTCGACATGTGTTGATGGAGCTTGAACGCCTTGGCGATTTATGGATCTAATCAAGATTGGATAGTAATCAGCTCAGTGGACGCTTGGATATAAAACCACCAATTTGGCGTTGGTCAGTCACCTGGTTACCTTGACAACCTAATATCACGGTGATCCCCTTACCCTCATCACGCCAGCTTCATCATCGATAGCCTCTCAATCGGGAGTCAATTGGCTCGGCTGAGTTCACAGTATTGTCACACTTTACAGTAATGTTCTGTGTTGTAGCTGTTGCGTTCGATCGGATTACAACCGCTTTTGTGATTTACTCTGGTGTCTTATTCAGCTGAGACTGGCGTTACATTCGGTACTAGCGTTCTGCACGTCGTACAATGGATGTCTTGGGTCTACAGTTCCAGTCTTCACACACACTATCGTGCTCAAACAACCATCATCTTAATACAATGGATACGTTTCTAGGGTAATGGTTGTCGGAGCAGACGACAGTTGAGTTCCAATGCTGAGTTTGCTGAACCGAAAACAGGAGGCAGTTGACAATGACGGAGGGGCTCCCCCTCTTACCCCGCGTCTGTCATGGGCGGCTGACTACCCTTCCCCCCGTCCTACTGGGTCGAGAAAGACCCCGGGGGTTGAGCTGACCAACGGGACCCCACCTCGACCCCGTCAGCCACGTAAAGCACCCACACCTGTGAGATTTACCGTTGGAGGGCCATGGGCACTTAAAGAATGCGAGGTGGGTTGATTTTTTGAAAAAGTTTATTCTTGTTAAATGCTATCATTGATGAAACTAATATTTCTTGTTTATAACTGGTCATGCTGATGAACAATTGTAGTGGTTATGGTGATGTTATGGTGATGTTATGGTGATGTTATGGTGGTGTTATGGTGATGTTATGGTGGTGTTAATCTGGTATGGATGGAAATGTTTAGGCAATGTTGAGATATAAACGACGCATCTTTTAAAGACCATTAGTGATTGAGAAAAGATATCGTTGTCGGTGTTGACGTTTGATTGATGACGTCCTGGGTGTTTATGACGTTAGATTGTGAACCAGCCATAGATATCAAGATACAACCTTTCTACCTATATACCTCCTTTATAACACTTATATCCACTTTCAATATCCCAGTATAACCAGATATGCTCTACTCCCACAACCTATACTTAAGGGGTGTCTACTGACTGTTGATTCCTTTCACTACGAACATACCTGATGATTTATGAGAGGGTTTCCACGTGACACCTCGGTCAGGGCTTTGATCTGAAAGGTCTGTATCACTAGCCGGACCTGGGCGTCTTCGCCTTGACCCCACCCTGCGACTTAATCCCCGTGAGGATGGGCATTTAGTTGGGGTGTTGAGACGGATTGGGTGACAAGGCTTGTGTGATATCCTGCCGTTCTGGATAACGTATTACTTGAGCAGGTGAACACGGTATTATCATGATCACGATTGTTGTGGTTTATGGGTTTTGTTTTTATCATTTGTTTATCGAATGTCTTAAATGTCGTATTGGGTCTCATTTAGATTTTCAAGTGAAATTGATGTTGTCATATTGTTGTTAATAACTCATCAACATCATTCGTACTCCAAACTCCTCATTATCATTTCAATATTATTACTACCGTCATTATCTCCATACATCATGAATCACAATTATCATCATCATCACCATCATCATCGTCATCATCGTCACTACCAACCACTACTACATCGATATCATCATCACCATCATCATCATCGTCGTCGTCGTCGTCACTACCAACCACTACCACACCTACATCATCATCATTATCACCACCACCACCACCACCACCATCATAATCATCATCATCAGTCACAGTCATCGTCATTATCTTCACCACCATCAAACACTACCATCACCATATCTACATCCACGTCATCATCATCATCATCGTCGTCGTCATCATGAATCAAAATTATCCTCATTATCATCACCGCCATCAACCACCACCACACCACCACCACCAAATCATCATCATCACCACCGTCATCAACATCATAATCATCATCAGTCACAGTCATCGTCATTATCATCACCACCATCAACCACTACCACCACCATCATCATCATCATCGTCGTCGTCATCAATCACATTCATCATCATCACCGCCATCAACCACCACCACACCACCACCACCACATCATCATCATCATCATCATCGTCGTCGTCGTCATCAATCACACTCATCATCATTATCACCACCATCAACCACCACTACATCATCATCAACATCATCAATATCATCATCATTCCATTATCAGTGTTTACAAAATGCGTGCCGTGCAACAACGTTTGGTTGAGGATTGAGTTAATTCAACTATATATTTATAACTCTTCTACGCACGTCTTTGTATCATGACATAGCGGAGGGTCACCATAACTTATCACGATTTGAAAATAAATGTTTGATCTTTCCAAGGAGCACACGGTCCGTTACCACGACACATCACTCGCGCTAAATCACTAAATATGACCCTACTGTTTGATAAAACCCTGTGTAAATACATGTCCGTTTCAGGGGAGCAATCCGCCCGTCTTCAATCCCTCTATTATCGTACCCATGTTTAACATTAGCTAAACCTCTTGTAAACCAACAAAATATTATCAAATGCCTGGTCTGCAGCTCATTGTATGCAAACTATGAAATGAGCTGGATAGTGAGGTTTACCCCTTTCAGTGTCATGTTAATCACGTGGATGTCGAAGAGAGGTTAAATTGGGGTTGAAGGCTGGAGGTTAAAGCTTTCACATGGCATCTCCCATGCACAACTGTGATAGTGCAATCAGTTTCTTCATGTTTAAACTATGAGTGAGTGAGTGTTTTTTAACGCCGCATTCAGAATTGTTATTACAGTTAGTTCGTGCTGGTCAGTAACAGCTGTCAGTACGTGGCTGATAGAAAAAGGTCGGTTGTTTGGTTGGTTGGTTTGTTGTTTAACGCCGCACCCAGCAATATCCCAGCTACATGGCGGCGATGTGTAAATAATCGAGTCTGGACCAGACAATCCAGGGATCAACAGCATGAACATCGTTCTACGCAATTGGGATACGATGACATCGTGTCAACCAAATCAGCGAACCTGACCGCCCAATCCCGTTAGTCGCCTCCTACGACAAGCATGGGTAACTGGAGACCAATTCTTACCCGGATCTTCACGGGTACAGAAAGGATGCTAGTCATTAATCATATTGATGCAGCTACCCGTGAAGATCTGGGGTAGAATAGGTCTTCAGCGACCCATGCTTGCCACAACATGCGACTATGCTTGTCGTACGAGGCGACAATCTGTTCCCAATTGCGCAGATCGATGCTCATGCTGTTGATCACTGGATTATCTGGTCCAGATTCGATTATTTACAGACCGCCGCCATATAGCAGATTCTCTAGTATCCACGTGTTATCTTGTCTTTCTCAACCTGCCCCGTGAAGATCCGGGTTAGAATTTGTCTTCAGTAACCCAGATCCATGCTTATGCTGTTGATCACTGGATTGTCTGGTCCAGATTCGATTATTTACAGACCGCCGCCATATAGCTGGAATATTGCTGACTCACTCACTCCTGCTGAACGCTAACAGTGTGATGGCTGCCCATGCCACCAACCACCGGTTTATGACTGACTGACTGAGTTTGGTTTTACGCCGCTTTTAGCAATATTCCAGCAACATAACGGCGGGGGACACCAGTAATGGGCTTCACACATCCGGTTTATGAAGGTAAGCGCTAGATGCGTGTTACAGGATGCTGCAAATACCACCCCCCTCCCCCTCCCCACTGTAATACCGTTATATACAACCTGTGTCTTGTTCTCAGGACGGTGGGGTAGCCTAGTGGTTAAAGCGTTCGCTCGTCACGCTGAAGACCCGGGTTTTATTCCCACATGGGTACAATGTGTGAAGCCCATTTCTAGTGACCCCGCCGTCATATTGCTGGAATATTGCTGAAAGCGGCGTAAAACCATATTCACTCACTCACGGTATATCATAGTCTGTCGGTATCGCATGGACGTTTAGCGTATTGGATTCACAGTTAAACTATCGAGGACTTTGATTTCAAAACCCGACCGATTGTGCGACCAGTTCGATTAACAGATATTGTTCGAATTACCTCGGTTTGTAATTTTTACGTTTGATTGTATGAACGTGTCACAACATTTCAGTAAGCACGAACCCTTTTGAGTAAAACTGTATATTCAAATTTGATTTCTATAGTCAATCGATTTGATTGTTTCCATCAATCGTCTTTAATTCTATTAACAATGGGCTAAATTCAAAAGAGCAGATATAATGACGTACAAAAGAAAGCATACACTTGGCTTGGGTTCATGTTATAAGAAACTACGCAGATATTTTAGTGCATGTCAACATCGACAGAATCGTCTATGATGGGCGGGGAACGTGAGGCTTTGGCAACGTCGCCATCGGGTACGACATCTGTGACGTTTTACCAACATGTACACAAAGTGTGACTTGTAAGTCACAATCAAAACATGTTTCAAAATATTTACGCTGTAGTACAGATGTGTAGTTTCTTTTGAACGTCAGTTTTTTGTGGCGTTTCTGTAATATTTATCTATCAGCCAAGGTGTTGAGTGCTGGTGTTGAGTAAAGGTGCTAAGTTGAAAGAAAAATAACCCATGCAGATTGATAGACTCTTGCGTGCCTCCACACAACACAACAAACTGTCCCCAACACGCAGGCGGCTCATTAAAAGGAGCCTAGTCATGAATATTCAGTTCACATAAGTAGGGTGTATTGTTTGAGGTATGACCTCGGCAACCCGGCACCGTTCATATCTGATTTATGACGGTGCTGACATGTCCCTGCTGGTTGTGTCACAGAGCCCAGAGCCAGAGCCAACACTGCACCACAAACACATGTGCTGTGCAGTGATTTTATCTCTCAGCGACAGGCCGGAGATGGTAGCTGATATTGACATCACACGCTGCACGATGTAGTGTATACGGTGCTATTGTAGAGGTACAAAATGTTTTTTCAAAAAGTTTTTAAAGAAATATTTGTAGAAAAATCAATTACAATCAAAACTGTTTTTTGACCTTGTGGTGTGAGTCCTTTCTTAGATCGAATGGATCGAGGTACAACGTTCTTTGAAGTCTGGGCTTGTACTGGATTTAAGGGGCGGCGGGGTAGCCTAGTGGTTAAACCGTTCGCTCGTCACGCTGAAGGATCGGGTTCGATTCCCCACATGGGTACAATGTGTGACGCCCATTCCCGGTGTCCCCCGCTGTGATAGTGCTGGAATATTACTAAAAATGGCATAAAACCATATTCACTCACTCACTCATTCACTCCCACATAAAACTGACACCCCTGGTATCATTGGGATATTGTTCAAAGTGACGTTAAACTATGGCGAATTGTTGCTGAGTTAAGTATTTACATTATGTGTTTCCAATATATTCCAGAAGGTCTAAAACATATCATTTAACCACCGCTTCACACACTGACATGAGGGGCGGTGGGGTAGCCTAGTGGTTAAAGCGCCCGCTCGTCACGCCGAAGACCTCCGTTCGATTCCCCACACGGATAGAATGTGTGAAGCCCATTTCTGGTGTCCCCCGCCGTGATATTGCTGGAATATTGCTAAAAGCGGCGTAAACACACCCTGACATGCATTCATGACTGTGAGCAGGTAACAATACTAGCCGTGAAGTGTATTGCCTGTATGTAGCATAGATGAGTGCTTTAACGACGTTATGTGATAATACAGTCTCATGAAATGCATCTATGTAATGAGGTATGTAGGTATTATGCTGGGTATTGATCCTTGAAATTTATATTCTCACGACAACTGCCTTTAGAAACCCTTTACAGCGAATTTCGCAAGCCCCACCCGCTATTTGAAGGATCGTATTATCGGTTTAATGCAGCCATCATTGAGTTTGAGTGTATAGGACACGGGTTCGACAGTGGGAACGTAATGGATTACAGATTCAATAGTGTTATCCCGGACAGTTAATAGCATTCCCATTTGAACGTTCCGTGTTATAATGCGATTTGAGATATGAATCAGTAATCGATCAGTCATCGATCACTCAATAACCGATTATAACAAGATCAATGACACACATGAACAGGTGTGTAAGTTATAGCGTTACACCCGTCACGGGCTCTAATCGCCACCCCCTCTCTCAGGCAGATCAGATTCACAAACAAACTAAACCAGATTGAAAATAGTCCCTTACCCACGCAAAGGTGTAGTTCGTATTTCTTTATCCGACAACACCGTGACCCTGGGCAATGCAGGGTCTTTAACATAGGTAACTTTGTCCCACTGTCGACATAATGGGATTTAGTGTTGCTGTAATTGTTATTTCGTGCCTGTAAGTCAACACGCTGCTCCGTGCTAGGGGACCGCGTCAAGTGTTTAGTTCCTCGGGACCCGATTGCATTACTGTCAGGTCTGTTCAGGAACGATATTTGGGGCTACAGCAGCACCAATGTAAGTTGAGACTGGGTTGAACCAATCAGGAAATTGTAAACGGGAATTCTGGGTGAGTGAGTTTAGTTTTACGCCGCTTTTAGTAATATTTCGGCAATATCACGGCGGAGGACACCAGAAATGAGCTTCACACATTGTACCCATGTGGGAATCGAACCCGGGTCTTCGGCGTGACGAGCGAACGCTTTAACCACTAGGCTAGTCCACCGCCCCCGGGAATTCAGTGGAGGGTAGGAGACGGGATGGATGGTAAACATTACTACACTCGTAAATGTGATAAGTATGTTAAATATAATGTACATATATGCCATGACTAACTCATTTGGTCATACCTTTCTGACACAGCTGCACCTACTCTAAACTTAAGGGTAGGATAGCCTAGTGGTAGAAGCATTTGCTCGTCACGCCGAAGACCCGGGCTCGATTCTCCACATGGGTACAATGTGTTAAGGCCATTTCTGTTGTCTCCTGATAATGCTGGAATATTGCTAAAAGCGGTGGCGTAAAACCTTATTCACTCATGAAACGTGCGTTTTAAAATAAAAAGCATGACTAAAAAACAACCCAAAAAACAATTACAACCAAGAAAACCAAACAAAACGCATACACGTACGCATGCGTGTCCATTTTGTAAAACAAATTATTAGTATTACTGAAAATGTGATTGGAATTGTCAATATCTATGTAACGTAGTACAGGGGCTCCACACATTGCACACTTATTGGAATCGAACCCTGGTCTTCGTCGTATTGCTGGGATCTCAAATGAGGTTTGACGAACACGTGAACCACTTGCCTACACCAGCGCTCTATGATGGGATATATAATCTGGTTCCTCTGTTGGTGCGCGATACAAGCGTGGCGCTTTTTCAAGCTTACATGCCAAGGGAATCAACATTCAAAATATATGCTTCTACATGAACTTTTTAAACTAATAGCTTGATATACATTTCATGAAATGTATTCACTTTCGTATTGTTTCGGACAGGACTGGTCACATAAAAAAAATATATATACATGTATGGTGTCATGGTGAGTGAGTATCGTTTTACGCCGCTTTTAAAAATATTCCAGCAATATCACGGCGGGTGAGACCGGAAATGGGCTTCACACATTGTACCAATGTGGGGAATCGAACCCGGGTCATACCTTTAACGGTTTAACCACTAAGCTACCCCACGGCCCCTGCCGTGGTGAGACGTAACCTGATATGGATCAATACAGTACTCGATCCCTTTAGTCGCATGTTGTAAGAGGTGAGGTGAAATTGGGTTTAACGTCACGCTGGAGAATATTTCGCTCATATGACGACGTGCATGCGTGTGTATGTGTATGTGCGGCTGCTTGTACTAGCCCAGACTGAAGCTGGTTTTATAGTGCTAGCCCACTGAGATACCATGCCGCAGTGAAGCATGAATACCCCCACTCAGACACATTATACTGACTCCGAGCCGACCAGTCCTTGTTGTACCCATTAATGCCGAGCGCCAGGCAGGGACCAACAAGTACCATATTTTAACGTCTTTTGGTATGACGCGGCCGGGGATCGAACCCGCGACCTTCCGCTCTCCGGGCGGACGCTCTAACCCCTACACCACGGAGGCGGTCGCATGTTGTAAGAGGCAATCAATGGAGTCCGGTGGTCAGGCCGGTTAATGCATGTGATGGTATCCCGATTTGATAGATTGATGCTCATGATATCTGAATAATCGAGTCTGGACCAGACAATCCAGTGATCAACATGATGAGCATCGATCTATGCAATTGGGAACCGATGACATGTGTCAACCAAGTCAGCGAGCCTGACTACCCTATCCTCGCCTCTTAAGACACGTATGGGGTGATGAAGACCAATTCTAACCCGGATCTTCACGGATTATAAACTAAGAAGCAAAAAAAGACAGCATACGACTTTCAAAATAACAAAATAAACACAAAAACCTTACAAACGTTATTAAAACTTTGCTTGAGTGATCAGCTGTGAAATACACATTGCTAACAGGGATGGAAATAATTTTAAAATTGCTAGTGTACTCCGGTACAGTGGCACATGTAAAATCACTTGCCCTGATAATTTTTCCACTATACAGGCCGTTTTCTTGTTGATCTTTTAAATAAACAACATAACTAACATTGGAATATCAACTGGACACCGGTACAGTTTGATATACAAATTTGCTTGCCCGACAGAAAAAACACTGGACTCGGGCGTCGGGCAATGGGTTATTTCCACCCCTGCTGCTATGACGCACGTAACATCGTCAATGATGCTTGTAAAATACCTGTCAAATAACCACCGCTACCCGTTTCTTGTTAGTTTCATGTTTAGCCACCATCAGGTATGGATGTATACTTAGTTTAGTTTGTCAGTATACTTGGCTGACCTAGATCAGTGTATGTACATTCCTTCGTGACAAATCTGGCAAAAATGCTTTAGCATAAATCAAGGCCAATCTAAGCTTTAGAAAGACATTAAAAGATAACCTTGACAAGAAGCGATTATTCATCGAAACAGTCCAGTTCTAAGCTATGTGGATTCTGCAGTATAATATGTGCCCATGCATGGCAGCGTCTTTCATTCACGGATACTCTACAACACAGAAATGTCGCTGTGAAGAGCATTCCTTAACTAGTAACAACAGTGTCCACTAAACTTATCCTTTTCAGGAGCACACAACCTGGGTAAATGAGACCCTCAGGAAAGCAAAACTCCCCCTAATCGACGATCTAAGACGGGCAGTGTCGGATGGAGTAACCTTGGTGCGCCTGTTAGGAGCTCTAGGTGAGTACTCAGTTACCCGTAACCGGAGCGCCACCTACGAGGCGCTATGCGGAGCACGGTCTACCCAGTGTGTGCGGCAGGGGGATATACTATTACCCGACTGTTTCACTACCGCGTTCATACGTCACACAGGATATGTTACCACATTTCATACAGGTAAGTGCTCAAAATTTTTAATCAGGTTTAGATCGCTTTGTCCTTTACCTATTCATATGATACGTTCCAGATCGCGAACATATAAGATTTCTTCAGATACAAATATTGCCCCGCTATTTGGGTACAACGATAAGGAACCGTTGAGGCATTCAACACAGTACACCCGTGGACCTTTCACCATAAACACTGTAATGGGAATGTCACAGACTCGTTCACCCCGATATAGGACACAGGATATAACTTTCATGATTCAATTTGATTTCTGAGAATAACGATCTGTTCTTTAAAACATGTTTTGCAACTCGGATTCAAACTAAACAGTAATAACAGCCAATTAAAACTCGACCTTTACAGTAGATCACTGATTCATCCTAAATTCACGTTTTCGCATTGAGGTCAGGGGCTGTGTCGTCGAGGTAGGCTTCCGAATATTTACAAGTCATTTCAAGTGCATCGTGACTCCTTTGATTAGAAAAATCACACTTATTTGCAAACATGTCGATGACAGTCGTTGTTTGTTTCTGTCAACTCGTGTTCCTTCAAACACGGGGGGCCTCTTTGACATTTGAGTTCAAGAGTAGATAAATGTCACCAAGTCTGTGATATTTGCTGTAGTATTACATCGACGACTTGTTATAGACATGGCATAAACAAGACTCTCTCCGTTTATAGTGCATTATAGCTTGTTATCAACATGCAATAGACACGGATATCCATTATACGTGTACGTTAAGTACATCTATATACATGCTATGTATCAAAGTTGCGAGTGATATATTTGCTGGAGTATGACATCGACGACGTGTTATAGACATGACATAAACAAGACTCTCTCCGTCTATAGTGCATTATAGCTTGTTATCGACATGCAATAAACATGGATATTCATTATACCTGTACGTTAAGTACATCTATATACATGCTATATATCAAAGCTGTGAGTGATATAATTACTGGAGTTTTTCATCGACGACTTGTTATAGACATGACATAAACAAGACTCTCTCTGTCTACAGTGCATTATAGCTTGTTATCGACATGCAATAAACACGGATATTCATTGCGCATATACGTTAAGTACATCTATATACATGCTATGTATCAAGGCTGTGAGTGATATATTGCATTGATTTTACACGCTGTGTAGTAACAATGCAGTGAAAGCGACATGGGGAGTTACTACCTGTACTGAATGACGGCTTATATATTAACAATAGAGGAATGGGGAGACGGTATATTTTATTGTGGACAGTTTGAATTCATGTAGAATTAAATTTACTACCTATTATATATAAATTACGACATTAGAGTAAATAAGTAATTATTGACAAAAATATATTTCTGTAGAAATTTTAAAACGTGTAAAACGAAAGTGTTTCATGATATTGGAAATGTTATGGGTGTGCTGTAGTCTGTCCCACAGTCCCTGAACTACATTATTTTCCCTACAGCCCATCCCTCGTTGCAATGCTAAATATCTAAATGAAGCAAGTCTAGATTCCCTCAGGTTCTGAATTACCTAACTCACTGTTGCTTCTTTTCAATCTAAATGGGATTATTTGTTACTATCAATATTATATATATTTAGGGACTAAGCGTTAGTTATATTGCATGCCAAGAAGCAGTTTGATTTAACCGATATGGGTTGTCTAAAACAACCAGAAACGACATCTGCTCACACCCGGTCTAACCGCGGTTTTCGACTCTAGGACAAAGTCGGATGAGTTCAGACACCCGTCACGTTCTAAAGGGTGTCGTTCACATGCCCCTTACCATTGTCCCCCTCCCCAATCGCGCGTTCCGCCCCACGTGCCGATTCATGACCCCTACCCTCTCAACCCATACTTTCCCCAAACCCTATTCATACATTCTTTCATTCCCCCTATCTCAGTTCCGCCACCCGACAGATAAAGCCTCTTCAGCTAGCCCCATGTAGACTTATTAAATATGAATAAGTCATACAAAGTGCTGTTTGTTGTGGTATCCAGATGGTGACACGTGACAGGTCAGGCCCTCAGGTAAATACAAGCTTACCTGTCACACAACAAGCCTGTCTCTGTTGACGTGCATATATCATTGCCTCGAATAGCAGACCGGTGACCATTGACCGCCCAGACTCAATAAACGTCACTGTGTATGTATGTAAACACGATAGGTATGTATGTGTATTTGTATACATATGTTTCTATACATATGTAGGTATGTTGCGGTCGTATAGATCGAACAGGTTTTTGTTGGAGTATGGGTGTAGGTTCTTCAAAGGGAACAGTCTTGGGTTCGTGGTACATTTATGGCACATCGATGTCAAAGGCTCCATATATGGCTGTACTAAAACAACAGCAGCCGTCATAGAACTGGAATATTGTTGAGTGCGCTGTCAAGAACTACTACTACTATTGCTGCTGCTGCTACTGCTACTACTACTACTACTACTACTACTACTACTACTACTACTACTGCTGCTGCTGCTACTACTACTGCTGCTGCTGCTGCTGCTACTGCTACTACTACTGCTAGTACTACTACCAAGTACGTTGATTAATGCTCAGGCTGTCAATCACTTCGATTGTCTGGCCCAGACTCGATTATCTACCGACAGCCGTTATATAATTTGAATACTACTACTGCTGCTGCTTTTGCTACTACTACTGCTGCTGCTACTACTACTACTGCTGCTACTACTACTACTACTACTGCTGCTACTGCCACACTACTACTACTACTACTACTACTACTACTACTACTACTACTACTGCTACTACTACTGCTACTACTACTACCACTAACTACTGCCGCTACCCTACACTCACTCACTGCTACTACTACCACACCTACTACTGCTGCTGCTACTCTGTTACTACTACTACTACTGCTACTACTACTACTGCTGCTGCTACTACTACTGCTACTACTACTACTGCTGCTGCTACTGCTGCTACCTCTATCACTACTACTACTACTACTACTACTGTTGCTGCTGCTACCACTACTAAGTACACATATAATTCTGTATATTCCAATGTAATTAATGTTAATGGTACTATAATTACTAAAATTCTTTTATGTGGATCAGTGTGCCCTCAATTTTCATTCTACGCTTCCTGGGGAGTATACAATCCAAGCTGCTTGTAGTGATACGATGATTTAAAAGGGGGTTAAAACTGATGCCATTTCAGATATGAAGAGGTTTACTGACATGGATCCAAGTTAGTGTATCACTACACCTTGACAGTATCAATACAAATATACAATTTAAACACAAGGATGCAATACAAGTATAAAATTGAAAACACAAGAATGCAATACAAATATCCAATGTATACCAAACCCAACGATAGATATGTAACAGCACAGATCCCTAAAGCCTTAAAACGGATTATATGGTAATATTTCCTCTCCACCCAGAAAGTAAATTTATCCAAAGATTTGTCTCTCTTATTAAAGAAAATATAAAACAAAACCCAGCAAGTTGTATTTTGTGATGGATATGTGGAATAACGGTTAGATGCAGCATACCCAAGAGGAAAATGACTGAGCTGTTAATTTAGCCCTGGATAAACGACTTGTAAAAGTCTGTTTAATGCCTGGGAGGAATTATCGTTTCATTTTAATGACTAAAATAATAATTATGATTACTGAATAACATAAATTACCTTGATAGGTTATGTGATTTTATTGGTGTGGATCAAACGCTGTTTTGCCGTGTATATGCTCAGTGGGGCCCGTTTTGTCGGAAGATCGACTTGTTCTCTAGCATTGACTAAAGACATTAATGAAATGTATACAGCATGTATTTAAAATTAAATTATAAATTCATTGTTTGTTTAAGATTTGTTCAATAATAATAATAATTGATTTATAGAGCACCTATGTCCAAACGATATTGCTCAATGGCGCTATAAAGAGATAGATTGTAGACAATGTCTATGGAAAAGAGAGTTTGAAAAGATGGGTTTTGAGAGCAGTTTTGAAAGCGTCAGCAGATTCTATTTCTTTTAGGGCGGGTGGTGAATGTTCCAGAGATAGGGGGCTGCAGCAGAGAACGCTCTTGATCCCATGGCTGTTTTGACGTGATTCCGTGTAAGCAGTAGAGAGGTTGACAAGCGGAGCAATCGGCTTGGAACATGGAGATGAATGAGGCTTTTAAGATATTGAGAAAACTTGTTGTCATAGATGCAGCTGTGTGTAAGAAGAAGTTTGTATTGAATTCTGCTTAATACAGGAAGCCAGTGAATAGTTTGAAGGATAGGTGTTCAGACAATTTTCATTGTCAAAAGTAAGTTCTAATCACCGCGTGATTAATCCATGCTCTTAAAGCAAACGTTTCTTTTCGTTCAAAGGTCTTAACACTCAGGTTTCTTATGACCATCCCTGCGCTAAACTGTAATGATATAAACTCGGAACCTGTCTTTCTTCTACCGTATACAGATGAAACACTACACAAGGGTGATTGTAAGTCGTCGCTGAGTCGTAAAGCCGGTTCAGAAAACAAGGGGATCGACATATCCGGGCCAGTGTGACGTCAGTCAAACGATTCATTCTCGTTATAAGAGACATAACGTACAATGTTCAGCATTAAATGTCAAAGTAATGGTTATATGTTGGGATCTGTATGTGGGGCGTGGGTAGTATGGTCTGAGGAGACAATAGGGACTTTTTATTAAGCGGAAATGTGGACTCTCTTGTTCATTTTATGAATCTGGTTGAATTATTCTGTGGTTTTGTGTTTTTGCATTGCATAGCAACATGTTAATGAACCACGCTAGAAGTGTAAGTCTACTGACCCCTAACACATAAACTACAATGGGATCCTAACACACCACAGCCTGTCAGAACAACCTGTA